GTTAGATATCTAATTGCCAGGCAATGAATCTAGTCTAGAGGCTTTTTTATACAAATAGCTGAATGATATCCAGAAGAAATCATTTTTTCTAAGGAACAAAAACAGCATGATCCCCCTTTTCGTGATGAGCATTTAATTTCTTTCCGTTTTATAGACTAGCAAAGAGGCAAAGGGGCATTTTACATGCTAATACTAATGTATAAGTCAAGAAATATTTGAACTTTATATTACCCTCATGTATTAAAAAAATCTTTAAAACTCACAGCAGATATTGTCATTTTTACAAGCATTAAATATTATGTCTTTACTTAGGCGGTTTTCAATTATACTTTCCCTGTACACTCAAATATTTAGCAGAAATAGCTCCATGGAGATGACAAAATGCAGCTCAAACACAATTCAGTTCTTTCTTCTCCAGTATGTGTGATCTGTTTCCATGGAAATTTCATGTTGACCAGGAATTGTAGAAATACTATATGCAAACATATCTCAGAAGTAAACCTTTTTGGAGAATATTTGTGATTTAATTTGAGTCACTCCATTAAAATTGTTCAAATAAAAGAAGACTTTTTTTCTTTAGCATAGACCATTCTACAATTTCCCTTAGCTTTAATACATTAGTCTAATAGATTTGGAGACTACAAGGACTTTAATAAGTCTTCTGATGAGAGTAAAATCAAATCTTAATGATTTAGGTAAATGTATTCATTTGAAAAAGATGATGGACTTATTATGAGCAAGGTATTGTTGGGATGCTGAAAGGAATACAAAGATGTACATAATACGGTATAAAATGAGGTGTCTGCAGTAAAGTTGACAATGTGCTTTGGTGTGTAGAGGAGGAAGGGAATGTTTCTGGTTGGGAAGATCAAGGAACTTTTCTTGGATAATATGGCATTTGAACTGAATCTTGACCAATTGAGAAAGTAAGGAGAGTCTTCCTGGTGAGGGAAACCACCTGAGCAAAGGCACAAAGGTGGGAAAGCAGAGGGTACAAGTGGGGAATGATCAATCCAACTGGCTGAAGTGTAAATGAAACAGGGAGGTAAAATGAAAAGGAAAGTTGCAGGTAACTTTGGTAGGGCCTTGAATGCTGTGATAATTTGGATATTGTGTTTAATAGCAGTAGTGTTCATGTAGGTGCTAATAACCTGGACTGTCAACAATAGTTGAATACTGGGTAATGAGAAACTAAGGAACGGAGTAGATCACTATTTAGAGAATCACGGTACTGAAAGGAGTGAGAACGGCAAAGTAGCTTGAAGAACTAGCAGGCTAAAAAATTGTTTGAGATGACATCCTTGGTGGTCCAGTGCTTAAGACTCCCGAGTTTCTACCACAAGGGGCACAGATTTGATCTCTGGTGAGGGAAATTCCAAATGCTGTGCGGAACAGCCAAAAACAAAACAAAATAAAACAAACAAAAACAAATGGTTTGAGAGATATAGTAGTTTTAAAACATGTTCACAAGTTTTTTTTCAAAATTCCTTTCTTTTAAAGATGGACACTCCCAAGGAAATGGAAATAAAAAACTAAAACAAACAAATAGGACCTAATCAAACTTACAAGTTTTGCACAACAAAGGAAACTGTAAAGAAAACAAGAAGACAAACAACAGACTGGGAGAAAATATTTGCACATGATGCAACTGACAAGAGCTTCATTTCTAAAATACAGCTCATACAACTTAATAATAACAAGAAAACAAAAAACTCAATCAAAAACTGGGCAGAAGATCTAAATATACATTTCTCCAAGTAAGACATACAAATGGCCAACAGGGACATGAAAAAATGCCCAACATCAGTAATTGTTGGAGAAATGCAAATCAAAACTACAATGATTCACATTGTTGTACAGCAGAGACTAACACAATACTATAAAGCAATTATACTCCAATGAAAAATTAAAATTTTATTTAGTTGCAAAAAATAGTGTCTGGACATAAAGTCTAAAGCAGGTAAAAGGGCATGTGAAACTATAAGGGGGTTAATGAACTAAGAATCTGAAACTGGGGCTTCTACAGCAACCATAATCTGTATCACACATTTCACATTTTATTCATAAACTTAAAGTATCATGTAACTTTTTTTAGGGTGTGAGCCTAGTTGCCCTGACAATATCACAAACCCTGAGTAGTGATCATGGTTTATACTTTTTGTACTCTCTTAGCAACTAGCACATGGCTGCATTCTACATTTGTTGAATCAATGAATAAAATCATTCCAGTATTCTGTGTATTTTCTACTGAGTTTTTTTCTTCCTTCACAATAAGCCTCTGATTGAGGCTAAAGATCTACTCCTTTTAGAGAGTTGAATGTGTTCCAGCCTTGTCTCTAAGAGCCAGGATTTCTGGATGTTTTTAAGCAGCATTACTTAGTGATGAAAAGGGGGACAATACCTGGTTGGTTAAAAATAATAAGCCTAATTATGCCTATGTGAATTAACTTGAAATAAATCTTGGATGATTTCTCTTCAATCTGACAGAAATCACAATAAAAGTGAAAAGGTTTAGGGGAAAAACACATAGATGAGCATTCTTCTGGAAAACCAGGGGAGGCAGAAGCCCCTGTTAGAAGAATCTCACAGAAGCTAGGATTTGAAGTGGCTCCCCAGCCAAATGGGAGATTTCTATATTCTTTACCTGGTGCACTCTTCTTTCAGTTGTTTTCCTGGAAGTAATAAGCTTGTTAAAGTCTGATAAAACTATTGCAAATAGGCCAGAAGAAATGCAAGTAGGCTTCTAAATCACTGAATAGAGTCAGTGATTGCAATGATATTAATACAGAGGTGGTTCTTCAGATCTTTACCACCTGCCTTTCTGCTCACACTCCAACTCACCTTTCCCTCAGTTCACATTTTCCTCTATTAGTTAGTGAATTAGCACTTTGAAATACGTGATGATAGAACCAAGAGGTTCAGTTTTGGAAGTTACTACTTTTGTTGATGAGTTTATGTAATTATTTGAAGGTTTTATTCAAATGTTGAATATTTAAAATCAAATATTTGAATATTTATTTTTATTAAAATGAAGAGAACTTGGACTTACCTGGTGGTCCAGTGGCTGGGAATCTACCTGCCAATGCAGAGGACATGGGTTCAATCCTTGGTTCAGGAGAATTCCACGTGCCGCAGGGCAACAAAGCCCGAGTGCCACAACTACTGAAACCCGCACACCTCAGATCCCCTGCTCCACCACAATGAGAAGCCCAAACACCAGAAGCAGAAAGTAACCCCCACTCACTGCAAATAGAGAAAGCCTGTGTGCAGCAATGAAGACCCAACGCAGCCAAATAAATAAATTGAAAAAATTTAAAAAATAAAGTGCAGAGAACCCAAAAATGAATGCGCTGATTCCAGTGAGAGCAAATTTAGGATTCATACATTCAGTACAATTTAGACAAAGGTATAAATTATATGACTGTCTAAAAGGACCAGAACTTTGCCACAATCAGATGCTCATTGTAAAGAAAAAGAAACCAATGAAAGAAAACGTAAAAAATGCTGGGACTGAATTACTAAAACTTGTGTCTGAAATTGAAGTATAATTAGGGATTGTATAATTTTTAAGTCTTCTATCATGTTAGTCCTACTTTCAGCCAAATATTATTTGAAGACAAAGAAAGAACTGTCTGTATTGTGTTGTTCTGTGTTCCAGGAGGTCACACTGGAGGTACCACAGAGACGGGTAAGCAGAGCTGCAGGCCTCCCGCCTCTGTTTCAGCGTCTGCCAAAACGAAGCTCAGTTTCTGATTTACATTCTGGATTCTGAAAAAGATTTCTTGCAAAGAAAGAGTTTCCATGCAACAAAACTGAAAATTATGGCCCTATCCTGATACAGTGTTTATACAAGAACATATAGTGGTTCAGTTTTTTGGAGGGACTACGTAGCAATATCTGTTAAAATCTAAGCCATCACATTGTTTGACTCAGCAATTTTACCTCTAGCAATTGTTGTTCAGTCACAAAGTCTTTGTGACCCCATGTACTACAGGCTTCCCTGCCCTTCACTATCTCCCTGAGTTTGCTCAAATTCATGTCCGTTGAGTCAGTGATGCCATCCAACCATCTCATCGTCTGTTGCCCCCTTCTCCTGCCCTCAATCTTTCCCAGCACCAGGGTCGTTTCCAATGAGTCGGCTCTTTGCATCAGGTTGCCAAATTATTGGAGCTTCAACTTCATCATCAGTCCTTCCAATGAATATTCAGGGTTGATTTCCTTTAGGTTTGACTAATTTAATTGCCTTGCTGTCCAAGGAACTCTCAAGAGTCTTCTCCAGCACCACAGTTCGAAAGCATCAATTCTTCGGCATTCAGCCTTCTTACCATCCAACTCTCACATCTGTACATGACTACTGGAAAAACCAAGCTCTGACTATATGGACTTTTGTTGGCAGAGTGATGCCTCTGCTTTTTAATATGCTGTCTAGGTTTGTCATAGCTTTCCTTCCAAGGAGCAAGCATGTTTTAATTTCATGTGTTTCATACAAATAATCGTTCAAGGATAAAAAGATTTATGTAGGATTTTAATTGCAGCATTGTTCATAATAGCAAAAGGTTGAAAAACTGCAAGTATTTATACATATGAAATTGGTTATCATAATGATATTCATGTATTGGGATATTACATATTCTTTTGAAAGAATGACATGGAAAGATGTCCAAGATATATTAAGCCTAAAAAGCAAGTTATAAAACATTATGTTTCCATTTATAAGTCAAATAATGTCAACAAATAAAACCATTGCCTTGACATGTGCAGATGGGTAGGTGTTACTCTACTTCTGGCTGTCTTTTTTTGTTTGGCCATGCCCAGTAGCTTCTGGGATCTTAGTTTCCTGACCAGGAATCAAATCCAGGCTACTTGCAATGGAAGTACAGAGCCCGCCAGAGGGAATTCCCTCTACTCCTTAAAATTATGGAAAATCGTAGGTTTACTTGTTTTAGTGTCTTTATCATTGGGCTTCCCAGGTAGCTCAACTGGTAAAGAATCCGCCTACAATGCAGGAGACCCTGGTTCGAGTCTTGGGTTGGGAAGTTCCCCTGGAAAAAAGGGATAGGCTACCTACTCCAGTATTCTTGGACTTCCCTGGTGATGTAGATGATAAAGAATCTGCCTGCAGTGTAGGTGGGTTGGAAAGATCCCTTGAAGTTGGGCATGGTAACCCACTCCAGTATTCCTGCCTGGACAATCCCTATGGACAGAGGAGCCTTGTGGGCTACAGTCCATGGGATTGCAAAGAATCGGACATGATTGAACAACCAAGCACAGCACATATTTATCATTGGAAGGATACTTTTTTAAGCACAAGATTGTGCATGCATGCTAAGTCATTTCAGTTGTGTCCGACTCTTTGAAACCCTTAGGAATGTAGCCTACCAGGCTCCTTTGTCCATGGGATTCTCCAGGCAAAAATACTGGAGTGGGTTACCATGCCCTCCTCCAAGGAATCTTCCCAACCCAGGGATCTGAACCTGTGTCTCTTAGGTCTCCTGTGTTGACAGGTAGGTTCCTTACCACTAGTGCCACCTGGAAAGCCCAAATACCAGATTATCTTTATTCAACTTTGGAACCGTGTTGGGGTTTTCCATAACCACTCTGCCTGAAAGTCTAATTTCTTGTTATGAAAAAGTGATTAATTAAACTTATAGTATTGTGGGTTTTAGAGAGTGAGAAAAATAACTTGTAAAGAGTTTTTGTAATTCTACAGGTTAAGATTATCAACATCAATTTATGGAATTTAGTGACATGGTGTAACAAAAAATAAGTTGACCCCTCAAGCCCTCACAAACACAATATCTTAGTCACATTCAAGAGAATAGTAATTTTTGCAAATTGGTACAAAAGGAATTTCCATAATTTAACCTTAGAGAGCTGTTCTGTCTTCATTTTTCAATCATTAATTGGGTTGACCAAAGATAACAGATTTTGTTCATACAAACATATTGCAAGGAACTGTGAAATCATGAGACTTTGTTGTTGTATGTGTGATCAAGTCTTTCATGGCTTAATTTCACATTGGAAGATTTCCTTTTCTCTGCCTCAGTACCTCCATCACAGAAAAACACAGGAAAAAGGGGTGTTCAGAACACTGGATGTTTCCGCAGACATGTGGGGCAGAATTGTTAGGGTAAATTTTACAAATCAATTAAACCAACACTGTCAAAAGTAATAACAGAGAAATGAAAAGTATAAATTCTTTGTCTCATTCCAAATCCTAACAGTGCATTGTAAGTGCTTTAAAGACAGTCCATTAGAAAACAGACCATGGTTTTACTTGCCTTATTCTAACTAGGAAGATTGCTATCTCACTCTATACTTTTTGCTCCCTGGAGAGATCACAATGGTGAGACCATGGAAGGCATAAGGAATGCTTATCATCTGGAAAGCAGCTTAAAGCATAGGTTGTTGTACAACAGAGCTCAGGCAAATTCACAACGTTGTAGACACAGGAACAGGCTTAAGTAGGAACTTTACCAACCAAGCATCTGCAAGAGAAGGTACAGACAGGTCACAGAGGAGCAAGGTGCTCTGTGGGACATGTCATAAGTGAGCATTCCGAGGAAGGGACATCCTCTCTTCTTCAAGACCAAAGCTGTAAACATTCTTGTCAGTGGGGTTCATGCAGACTACTTTCTATCAGACTGTGTAGATGTCAACTGTCAAGAATTATCTGAGAGAGCCAGATGCTTGTGTCTGGACTCCTTGGGTGTCCATGGGAAGCTGTGACCCCTCCTGGGGGAGGGAGGAAGCCACCTGTGCCAAGGAAAGGGGAATTTGGAAGAAATAGGGAGACTACTGGTCACAGCTGGTCCGTTGTCCAGACAACCCAGAGTGGTCTCCTGAGGTCATCTGCAGACTATATTCTGTCTCACCACTGGGACTAGTCAGACATCTCTTTACATTAAAAGACACAGAATTTAGAATTCTGTTTTTAAAAATTTTGAATGCTCATTTCTGCCACAATTGTTTGTAATCCTGAGAACCTTTTTAGGGGCTTCTATTTTATACCAATTTAAACAACATTTAAATATTTTTAAAGCTGGCCTTTAATGGATGTTTCAAGAGAACAGCATCAAAACATGTATATTATCTAGGGTGAAACAGATCACCAGCCCAGGTTGGGTGCATGAGACAAGTGCTCGGGCCTGGTGCACTGGGAAGACCCAGAGGGATCGGGTGGAGAGGGAGGTGGGAGGGGGGACCGGGATGGGGAATACATGTAAATCCATGGCTAATTCATTTCAATGTATGACAGAAACCACTGCAATGATGTAAAGTAATTAGCCTCCAACTAATAAAAATAAATGGGAAAAAAATAATTTAAAAAAAAAGAATTTTAAAGATTCTTAAAGATTCAATGCCTTTCTCAATGTTTCTCCTTGGTTTGGTCACTTACTCATTGCCACCTGCTGGATAAAAAAAGAAGTGCAGCTGAACATTTGCCTTTTCCTTAATGGACCTGTCAGCCCTTATCAGCTTGGAAATCAGAACTTGTCCTCCAAGGAGTGGCACCTTATTGCCCCAGGTGAAGGCAGAGGAATATAGTATGGACTCAGGAAGAAAGAGGTTCTCTGACCTTTCCACTCCTGATTGTGTTCTGCAACCTGCATTCATCCCTTCACCCCAGGGGTTGGGGATGGGTAACTTGATGAACAGGATAGCAGCAGGTAAGTTCACTGACTGCTCTGGAGAGCCAAGAGAAGTGCCCATGGTGATAATACTGGCTGCTCCCATACATCCATTGTTGAGATCAGAGCAGCTCTGATAAGTTTCTGTACCCTGTGGACAGGTTAGGTTTACTTATTTAGGCTAATGTCAGATGACCTTAGGAATAAAAATTAAAGAAAGCTATTTTCAAGGCTGTTCTTAAGACATAAAATTAGGCTTAAACAAGAGATTTGAAAACTTGTTCACCACAGACCACTAAAAGTTTTCATGGTTCCATGAACACCTCTAACTTTTTGTTTCAAGAATATTGTTGTTGTTCAGTCATTAGGTCGTGTCAGAGTCTGTGATCCCATGAACTGCGTCACCACTGTCTTCCTTGTCCTTCACTATTGGAAATTATTGTTCAAATCTGTCACCTTTCCTACTGAGCTCCAGTTCAGGTAACCACAGTGTGTCCCCTGACCTCTCTCATCCCAGCCTGACAGGTCTCTGCTTCTGTCTTAGCAACCGCCAATCCATTTTCTCACTGCAACCAGAACAATCATTATAAAATGCAGATGTAAGCATACCATTGTCATTTTTGAAGTCACGACTTTAATAAGCTTGGTGTGGGGCATGGGGGTGCTTCCCTGGTCACTCACTGGTAAAGAATCCACCTGCCAATGCAGGAGATACAGGTGCAATCCCTGATCCAGGACGATCCCACATGCCTCAGAGCAACTAAGCCTGTGTGCCACAACTATTAAGCCTGTGCTGTAGAACCCGAGAACAGCAAATACTGAAGCCCACATTCCCTAGAGCCCAGGCTCTGCAACAAAAGAAGCCACTGCAATGAGAAGTTCACAAACCACAGCTAGAGAGTAGCCCCACTCGCCGCAACCAGAAAAGAGCCCGATCAGCAATGAAGACCCAGCACAGCCAAAAATAAATAAATAAATAAAAAACTCTGGGGGCCACTCGGGGGCTGTCCTAGCCTCCTCTCTCTTTTATTTTAACCTTTTCCCGTCACTTTCAATTCTTGCCATGTTAACCCACTTCCATTTCCCAAGCACTAGCCTCTCTCTCGTTTTTGGGCCTTCACATGCACATACTTATACACACTGCAGACTCTCTGAGCAACTGCCTGACTTGTACTCACTCTTTAGGCCTCAGATTCCTTTCATAAGAGGTGTCTGGTCTCCCCAGGCTGGTGGGGCTCTGCTCCCAGTCCACGCCCTGGCCAGCACCAGGAAAGCACCATTTTCACACTATCTATGAGGAACCATGTCCTTGTCACCACTCCATTTACACTGCACAGTTCTGGAGGGCAGGGAATGAGTCTTGTTTACTTTTGTATTCCCAGTGCCTAGTACTGTGCCTGGCAATAGTAGGTGTTCAAAAAACAAATGTTGCATGAATACATGAAATAGCATATTTGAGACACTTTTAATTTCCAAGAAAAAAAAGGTATGTTGTCAATTTTACAGAGTAAATCAGAATCAATGTCTTTCTTTAAAACTAGGTTTTCTGATTAAAGAGAAATTCATAACTTACTTTCATAATTTTACTTTAAAAATACTGAGGCAAGAAATAAAAATGTACCCTGAGTCCACCATAAATGAAATGACTCATGAGACTCATTAAAATTTTTCTTTCCCAAGACTTAACTTAATCATTTCACAAGACCAAATACTATTATGAAAAATAAGTGTGATTTTACACATTGATTAAAACTGGCCATATTTATCTAATCCATAATACTCTTTCCCACTAAAGAAACTGTCAAAATACTTTGTTTGAATAAAGTTATAGAACACTTGTTTCTTTCTTTCTTTTTTTTTTTGAGCTTTTCTCCTTTTTTAATCAATGACCACCTTATACAGCTTTGGAAATCTGGACAAAGAGGAGGCTGAGAAGAGGCCTGGTTCCATGTCTGAGGGTCTCTGAGTGAGTCTGCTTCAGCCGGTGGGCCCCAACTGCCTGTCCATGCTTTGGGCACAGCACTTTCCTGAGTAAGAGCTTGCCCCACCCTCAGGGTAGCACCCCAGTTAAAAAAAAAAAGTCAAGGCCCTCCAGGCTTCACCCTCTTTCCAAGGCCTTCAGGAAATAGGTTAGATTCTGAGCCCGGCCTGGGAGGAGGGAGTATACAAAGGGCAGGCAGGATCAAGTACCCAGGGATCCCAGTGATTCCCAGGCACTCTCCTGCCCTTTCCTGACAAGGGAGCAAATAAATAGACCTCCAACTCAGGAACAGGGGTGTTGGAGCAGGGGCACCCTCCCCAGGGGCACCCTCCACTAAGAGTTAGTAATTAAGTCTCATGTTAAAAACAAACCACCCCCAGCCCCTGCCAGTATCTACAAAATCCAGTGTCTACAAAATCCTAAAGGATTGGGTGAAGGACTAGCCTGCCTGGGGGTATACAGCACCCAGCCCTGCAGGCTCCTGGAGGAGCTCTCTTGTCTGTTCTGCAGCTCCTGGGGCTCCCTCCTCTTTGGGGATGGCTCCAAGAAGACTGATGGAGGCTTCTTCATTGAATAGGGAGAGGCTGGGACACCCACTGCCAGAAAGTGGTTCTTTTTCTGAAACAATCTCCACAGGCCCCGGTGGTTGCCACGCACATCCAGGTCCCAGACAAGGGAGGCATTTGACAAGCTGTTTCCAGGTGATGAAGTCATCATCTTTCTCAATTCAGATAAAGGCTTCATA